CCAGATACATTTAAAAAGATTTCTTATAATTGGAAAAACAATTACTTTCACTGTATTTTACATCTGAAGATCACGATTGAAAGAAGATGTGTTTTGTTGTCAATGGCCTGTTCCATTTAAACAGTGCACTAAGAGGAAAAGTTATGCACCATGTTTATGGCAGATGAAAAAATATATAAAAGAGGAAATGTGGAAAAGGAGATGAAGTGTGGCCAAAAAGACATACCGTGGCCTTAAGAACAAAGCAAATATGTAAGATACAAAACTAGGTCTGTTATCTGCAAACAAAGCCTTTCTTTTGGAGAAAAAAATAGAAGACCTGTATCACCATTTTGTATTACATTCAATAAAAATGAAATATTAAGCAGACCAGGGGATTCCAGTGATTCACAGCATGTCACTTTTTATCCATGAGACGCATGATGAGGTGTTCATGACTTTCCATTGCTGAACAGTAGAATTATCCAGGGAGGAAAGTGTGTTTGGTTTTGGCAAAACCTCACTGGCTACTTTTTTGCAGAACCTTACAATTAGGTTCATCTGAGCAGACTCAGGTTAGTGGCAGAGAGGTGTTACTTGGATGAAAATCAAGTCTTGTTGACTTATGAACCAGAGAGAGCCAAAACCAGGTTGGGTTCACTTTGGGTGCCAAGTTACAGCTTGTATGTGCTGATCTTACACCCAAGATAAGTCACAACAGCTTAGACCAATTGTCTATGAATCCCAGAGAGTGAGATAAGAATGAGGGAAGTGCAGATGTTCCTTCTCCTTCACACATCTTTTGCTGGGGCTGAGCAGTGGATCATTTAGAAATTGGCAGTCTTCATTGCAGCTGTCTAAGTTTTGCCATTCCCTTTCCCTCCACCCCCACCTCCTTCTCTTTCCAAGTAGCAAATGTAGCATATCAGGGAAACAGCTGACCTGCAAAGTCCACGTCAGGTACACGGGCTTTCTACTGGGGCTGCTCATTCCTCTGCCTCCTTCATCTTTGCCAAATGAAATAATTCCTGGCACATCTGAATTCCTCTTCCAGTGCTGAGTCTTGGCATTGCTCGCCTCTTAACCACTTCTTTCAGCTGTGAGAGAATCAGCCTAGCTTCTGAAATTCTCAGACTTGCCCCAGGTTTTTTTTATAAAGGGGCTGCTCTTGCAACTGCTATTTCCAGGCAAGCAGAGGTAGCAAAGCCTAATTCCCTGAGTTCACCCTAGGTCCTGGGCTAGCTTAGAAATGGAAGCAGAGAATTCAGTCCCATCGTGCTCATCTATTACCAGCGGGCAGCAAGAAGAAGTGAATGCAACTGTAGGGCTCCTCACAAACATTCCATCTCAGCAGCCCTGACCAGAAACCTGGAGAAGCCACCTCAGCTCTCAGGCTTCCTCAGAGGAAGACAGCCTCCGCAGGCTGAGCATGAGCCAACCACACAGCTTTAAGGAGACTGGCCTTCTGTGGAAGGAGATGGACAAAGAGGCAACTGCCAGAAAATCATTAATGCCCCTCAGCAGTTTCCTGGGCACATTTGTGTTGGGGCTCCCTTTCTCAGCTGCACTTTGCACGTGGCTTTACTTCCAGGTGACCTGGTCCACTGGAAGTAAAAAGCTGGAGGTCTCTGTACAGCTTACTTAGATTAGGCTGCTGGATAGAGAGGTGTCATCCCACTGGACTTCCTCTCAATGTGAATTCTGAACATCGTTTTTCTTTCCTTTCCTAGCAAAGGTGGTTCTGTTGGTACAGGTGGAGGCAGTGTGCATGCTCTGATGTAAAGGGAGAACAGTGTGGGCTGTAGCACCTGTCAGCTGACATTAAGCATAAGACAAGAAGTTTTCCATCTTCTTTAAACTTAGCCTGTACTCATTAGGCTACCTCTCCTCTTAGAAAAAAAATACATTAACATGGAAGGTTTTCAAATATCAAATGGAAACACTGATGTGGTAAACACTACGCCACTCACCACAGTTTTTTTCCAGAGCAGAACTGGCTGTTAATATCCCCATGCTTTGGCAGATTTTCAAAGCAAGCCGAAGAGAGAGTTAAGGGCCTTCCCTGGGACTCCTGACACCAAGTTGTGGACAGGTCGATTCCAAGCTGAAGGGAATCCCATCATGGGTCGTAATGCAAAAGTCAAATTTAAAAAGCAGCCACTTAGTAGGAAGGGGCTCAATGGGGACATTTGGTTTTGGAAGAGTGAACTGCAAAATTTAAAAAATAACCTTGCACTTTGGTGCTTAGAACTGACAACCCGTGTATAATATCCTACCAGCAGAATATGAAAGGAAAAATTCTTCTTTGGATGGAATGTGTGGGAAGTTTATGCCTCTGACTTTGCCTCTGAATCTTGAATATTCATTCCCCCTGACCTTTCTACATCATGCATGTTCCATAATCTGGAATCTGCTTCCACATCAATCTAACTTTGAACAAAAAATAATTTGATAATTTTTTTTTTAAGTAAGGCTATTAACTTACAGTTTGGATTTTCTTCATAAAAGAAGAATTCACGAGTTATTTTTTTCAGGTTGACCTTTGGCTCTGGGAAATGATGCCTATAACCTTCCTGCCAACTTACTGATGTAAAAGGGGAAAAAGTGTGGAGGGTGAGGGGGGTGGAGTGTAATACTACTGTCCTAGGAATTGCATCCAGCTGGCCTCCACGAACACAGTCAGCCATGGGGGTAGAGTGGAATGAAAATAAAAAAACAACCAAATTAAACATAAAATACTTAATTTAAGAAGGTGTTGTGCACCTACAGCTTTTCTGCATTTGAGCTGAGTATTCTACATATTTAGAAGTTAGTCCCAGGAGGGGAATTGTTCTGTGTCAATAATATTACAGGACAGCTATTTCTGATTCACTGGGTCATCCCCTCAAATTTTTCATGTCATTCTAAAATTCTTTTAGGTTGGACTATAAGGGTTGATTTCTTTAACCTTTCTTTCTTAATCATGTCTTCCCTATCACCTGTGTCAGAGGAGATTAAGATTGGGTATTAGGAAAAGGTACTTCACCCAGAGGGTTGGGCACTGGAACAGTCTCTCCAGGGAAGTGGTCATAGCACCAAGCCTGACAGAGTTCAAGTATTTGGGTAATTCTCTCAGGCACATGGTGCAATTATTGGGGTGTTCTGTGCAAGGCCAGGAGTGGGGTTTTATGATCCTTGTGTGTGCCTCCCAACACAGCAAATTCTGTGATTCTATAAAACCCCCTTTCTCTCTTCCCTTCTTGTTCTCCCCTTATTTGTTTCAGCTACTGGTCTGATACTTGTGGGGAAAGTAAAATCTCAAAGTCTTGGGGTCCTGATTTATAATTTATATATTGTCCTTCACAATATATAAATGAAACAACTCTGTGGCTTCAGCTCATTTTTTTTTATATGTGGTATATTGTGGTATATATTGTGGCAAAGGTCTGCATACAACCCATTATATCAATCCAGGCTGGAGAATGAGCAGATTGGAATCATTCAAATGAGCAGCCTTGGGGAGAAGGACTTGGGGGTGCAGGTGGATAAGAGGATGGACATCAGTGAGGAATGTGTGCTTGCAGCCCAGGAAACCAATTGTGTGCTGGGATGCTTTAAAGAATCATGGCCAGCAAGTCAAGGGAGGTAACTCTGCCCCTCCACTCCACTGTGGTGAGACCACAGCTCCAGTGCTGTTTCCAGCTTGGGGTCCTCACACAGCAAGGACACAGACCTATTGGAGAGTCCAGAGGAGGCCAACAAGAGGATCAGAGGGATGAAGCACTTTTCCTATGAGGCTGAGAGAAGTGGGACTGTTCAGCCTAGGAAAGAGAAAGGTTTAGGGTGGTCTAATTGCAGCCTTCCAGTCCCTGAAGAAAGCCTACAAGAAAGATGGACAGAGACCATTTATAAGGGCATGTAGTGACACAGGACAAGGGAGAATGGCTTCAAACTGAAAGAGACTAGATTAGGTAATAGGAAAAAATTCTTTACTGTGCGGGAGGTAAAGCACTGGAACAGGTTGCACAGAGAAGTTTTGGATGCCCCATCCCAGCTAGGATGCATGGGGCTCTGAGCCACCTGGTATAGTGGAAGGTGTCCCTGCTCAAGGCAGGGGGGCTGGAACAACATGAGTTTTAAGGTCCCTTCCAACCCAAACCATCCTATGATTCTATTATTAGCTCAGTTGAGGGCACCAAGTTCATTTCATATGTCCTACACTAGGACAGCCATCACTGGGAATTAAGTCTCTTTTTTTGAGCTGGTCATCTAGATGTGAAAACCGTTCTTGTCTAACTTCACTTACCAGAACTCCTCTCTGAAGTATCCAGCAGTATCATTTCTGCCTTGGCATCAGGTGGCAGGCACTGAGAGCCTAATCTGGGCAGAGAAAATCAAACAGCAGATGAGGCATGTTTCTGCTGACTCAGATCATAGCAGCAGGCAGCCCGGGAGTTTCCAGCCCTGCTTGCATGCCCTACAGCTCTGTTAGAGGTGGATTTGATTTTAAGAAGGAGCCAGGGGCATGCAAAGCTGGCTACTTTCAAAGGGGCTGGGTTTGCAGAAGGGAAAAGTGCACATGGATACCGTGTGCTTCTCAGTACAGCTGCAAGGCTGCCACCCTAAGGCCAGAGGGATGCACTAAAGCATTGTTTTCCTTCTACAGGCTCACACAATTTGCCAGCATGCCTTGATCTTAGCAGGATCATGGGTCTGACCAGCTTCTGCATTCATTCCCACAGCTGCCAGCCTTGCTGTTGCATTTTAGCAAAGAGAAAATGGCAGTAGCATTTGAAGGGGATCCAATGGCTGTAAGAAATATGCTCCAAGGATTTACTGACTACCCAAAGTTTGAGTTCACTAATATGACCCAACCCAAGCTTTAAAAAATTCTTGGATATGTATTGGTAGAGTTATGAGATTGAAATAAAATCATCAAATGTAAAGATAATGAGTGATTCTTTAATTTTATTTGCCTTCTGATATTGCTGCATCACAGCTGATTTCGCAGGTTTTATTTCACAGCTGTGTTTTCTCATCAGCTTTTCAGGACCCTTAAGAAAGAAACATGAAAATACTGAGCAACAGGAAAAAAAATCTGGACTCACAGACTCAAAGGACGTGAATCACATTGACCCTGATGACCTCAAAAAAGGCAAGAGCCAGAATGCTCGGCTGTTCCCTCTTCCAGATGCTCAGGTCTTGGTTGAAAACAAAGTATTTGTCATGTGAAAAATCACTGAGACCTGTGGGTGAGGAGTGGATTCTGAGCCTCACGTTCAGAATGAGATCCATCTGCCATTGCCCACTGCCTGTTGCAGCTGAGGGATGGATGCAGTGCCCAGTGGGATGTGCAGCTTGGGCAAAGCAGGACCTGCCCCTCTGGAAGGAACCAGGATCAGGTAAGCCATGGTAGATATCAGGATGCATGAACATGTCGCCTCTTACTTAGAGCTGGGTAGACATAGAGTCTGTTTGGTTGGAATGCTGGATATGTGTTTTGTCAAATCTCTGTTAAAGGAGAAAAATTTTTCCATAAGCTCTGATTTTAGGTCTCATTTGACATTTGCAGAAGGCAAAGGATGATCTCCCACGGACTTTGGCCCTAAAGCTTATTTGCTTCATAGCATGCTGTCCACTATATTTTATCAGTTTGCCCTGAGTAGGAATGAAAGGGCCTGTGCTAGATCCCATCTTAGTCCTTTTGGTGCTATTTTGTTCTGCACAAGTCTGACCAAAACTGAAATCTGAATTTTTAATGTTATATAAACTTTTATTAACTAAGCTCCTTTTGAGGGCCCTGCTTCCTAAAACAGCCCAGGAAGAATGAAGATAAAATTATTATTTCAGGAGTGAGATGAGAGGAGAGATTTTTCTCTTTCAAGTTTGGTTTCCTGGCATTCCGTGAAAGCATACCCTCACATCTTCAAGTTTTATTTAGCATATATTATTTTCCCTGAGGGGGTCTCATCAAACCATTATTTTGAATGACTGAAGTCTTTATTTTGCTTCTTAGACCAGAGATGTAATATTCTTTCTTATTTTGCTTTCTCTCATGCCAGCCCTTTAAGCAAAATGCTGAGCAGTTGGACTGTAACTGCAATTTAACCTAACACTTACCTGTGCTGCTGTTCACACTGTACGAGGTAATTTCCAAAGGTCAGAGCAGCTGGATTCCATTACAGAAATGCAGAGAACTCAAAATAGCTTGTGTAAATATATATTTTTTGAGGAATTCAAGCAGCTGCCTTTGACACCCCTGGGCCCTTATTGCTTCAGAATACTTTGGTATCAGCCTGGGGTCAAAAATTACTAAATTGCTCCTCCTCCTCCCCCACATAAGAAATTTCCTTTGGATAAACATTAAGAAATAGTCAAAAGCAGAGATATTTCTGCTTTTGCATTCTTAATCATAAGCTTTATTGCAATAAGCACTAAATCAAGAAAACTTTCTTCCATATGTGTTCAAGAACCATTTCCACTCTTTTTTTCTACACATATGACATTTGTTTTACAATGCTGCAGTTTACAAATCAAATAGTTTCTCACAGAGATAGTATGTTTTTATTCCTTTGTCCTTTTTCAAACAGTCCAAATGTCTGTGGTTTTGTCATTAAAAGTCCAATTGGCAGATATATATGGAAACTTTATGTTTTCCAGCTGGGCAACTACCACTTACACATGCTCATTATTATTCATATTATCATTATAGTAACCATGGACGATAATTCATGTGGCTTACTCAGTCAATATTCGGTAATCTACATCAGATACTGTCCTGAAACTGCTGGAACTGAATTCTTCTTTAGCTGTGAGGACATTTTGATATGCATCTGAGCCTCCTGACTTGACCTTTCCTTTAGAATAAAACTAGGGGTACCTCTGACCCTGAATTCTGGAATTTGCTAGTGGGTTTTGGAATATATTCTTGTTGAGAAGGAATGCCAGATGTTTGTTTCTCCCACAGTAGCTTTACCCACCTGTAATTTTACTGACTTGAAATAATTTTTGACCACCTTGTTGACAGAGGAAGGGTACGATCTCAACCCCAGTGTGAATGTTTTAAATCATGCTGGTTTTCCAGTGGAGTTTTCAATTGCTGTGAAAAATTCTAAGTCCCCAAAGCTTTATTTTCCCCTCTCTCTGTAGCTGTGAATGGCCACACAAAGAGTGCTTGCTCTTGGACAGACATGTTATGTGCCATGCCGTAAATCACTGAATGAATGAGTCTGTCAGAGAGGATGAGCAGACTCTAAGCCATAACCATCCTAGTGGGTGGTACCATTATCCTGGGCTAATTTATTGTAAAGCTTCAGCTGACAGGAGCAGATTTCTGTGGTCTGACATAGAATAGTTTATGAAGGATGCCAGAATTTTTCTATTTAGTTACTTCTGTAGTACTCATATCATGACCCTATGCTATATGAAAAACACGATCATGCAATTTGTGAGGCATAACAACCTTAAGGTTCTGGGATTTGTGGCTATTTTTACTTTTTTTATTTACCATTGTAGAAAGAAAGGAGATGGATGAATGGACACCTAGAGAGGGTTTTATTATTGGAATAGTAAAAGCAACACTAAGTGCCATGAGGCAACATGAAAGCAAACTCTTCTGTCCCATGTGTGCACAGATGTCTCCGTCTCTCTGGGAGCCTCTCAGGAACCCCAGCCAGCCCTGGCAGACGACGGGGGGAAGCCAAGAAGCGGCCAGCAGTGGGGGGACACTCTCTGGTGCCCCGAGGGTACTGAGGGCAGCTAGGCTAGTCACCTTTGCATCAGAAGAGACACTGGAGACATCGGTAGAGGATAAAAGGTCGACTCTGGGCAGGGGGCCAGTCCAAGGTTTATTCGGAGCTCCTGAGGGAGCCCCACACCTCAGTGATGCACCTTGCTCAGAGTAAAACAAAAGGAATTTCAAGGTTACATTTAAAGGGGGGGGGGAGGAAATCGAAGGTAGATACATTTGCTGACCAATAAAGACCCTTCAGAGATGAAACCTTAGGGAATAGACATTTGGGATAACATATAGGATAATACTTGGAAGGCTGACTCCTGGCCTCGGATTAATCACTTTATGACTTGGACCGAAAGTTCTAGATAGAGGGGATGGGATGCTGAGTGACTGACAGAGAGCCAGGGTGGGGATTTGGGGATGACCTCAACAAATGAAAATGATTACACGGGTAGAGGGAGGGGGGTACAAAAAGGGGTATGCCATTTGGGAAAAATAAAGGAATACAAAAACAAAACTATTACAAAGTATTACAAAGTAATATACAAAGTATAAAAGTATTACAAAGTATTACAAAGTATTACAAAGTATAAAAGTGTTGTACACTACAACACACAGGCCCCAGTTGCATTGGCTTTTGTAGAGATAAATACATTGGCTGGAATCAGCTGCTATGTAGGAGAAAATGGTGTGGATGCAGATGCATTTTTCCCTTGTTTGCAGTCTGGGAGGCAAGCATATACATTCAGCTGTTCTCCTGTTCCCCCCCAGGAACTAGGGTCATCCAAGCTGAGAATACTGCCTTTTTAGATATCTCAGGGCAAAAATAAACCCTGTGGAAACAGTGGGGAGTGAAGAGAGTCCATCTTCCATCAGCTCTGAGGGCCAGCAGCAGGGCTGTTCAAGGAGCTTTCCTGGGTGGTATTTGCATCCCATCTGCAGCCCACCTTGACTTTAAGGACAATGTTTTGAAGAATTCCTGGGGTTAACAATGAGGCTTGCATCTCTTTAAGCATTTTACTTCCAGTTCAATGTGTTACCCTCCGTTAGGTCAATCTACTGTGGATGGTGTTCTCAACTAAGAAAAATGTAAAAGGCATGATTTTGATGGAGTTCCTGGCAAATCCTTTGATTACATTCCCTGACACTCAGCAGATGTCTGCAACCCACATGGCAAACATCCATAGAGGCAGTAGCTCACTCTAGCCCTTGGTATGTAGAAGTGATATATGGTATCTAAAAGAAATAATCTATTATGTATGCAACATTCCCATTTTTTCTGGATAATTTTTCAGCCAATAATTGAAGAACTTAATTTACATTTTATTATAAATCTTACCCAAATGCTTTAAACTCATTACTGGGAACCTTTGGACTTTGAGGAACCATAAAATTAATAAGACATGACTTTTAAACTCGCGTTTAAAGATAAAATTGAAAATTAAACCATTGTTCATTGCAGTTGTGCATTTCAAGCCATGAATGTAACAGGGAAAGTAGAAAGGAAAAATAATTGGAAACATTTGAGTGTTTTCAGTAATTTGAATTCAAAACTGCATTTGCAAGCATTTTTGTTTCTTTTAAATGAGCATTGCCTGAAGTCCGATTTCTGTGCAGTATCCATTAAAAACTCCAGCTGCAAACATGATTATCAGATCTGCTCTGGACGTGTGTTCTTGTTGCTGTTGTGCCTCACAGGGAACCATAAGATAGCTGGCTGCTGGCAACTGCTGGCATTTTTACTGGTGCTCCAGTAATGTTCAAACCATAACTGTCACACAGCCAATTCCTAAAATTTGGCTCCCTCTCCCAGAGGAAAGCAACATCATCAGTGAAATGCATCTATATGTGTCTCTATTTACACCTGATAGTGAACAACAACAACTTCAGATATAGAGATTTCAGCCTCTGTTATCAGAAATAAACCTTATTATGTGTTAATGGCTTCGAGCTCTATGCTAATAAATAGCTCTTGATCATTATATATGATATCTGCTGCAAGCAGTGAGCAATGTTGTGGTAAGAGAAAAAAGATCAAGGATGAAAACTGAGTTGATATTCATTAATTCATATTTGAAGGTATTTTTGTTGTTCTCATTCTGAGGATGTAAAATATGGTGTGCCTAGCTAGAAATATACTCTTAGGAGAGACGTAGAGCCAAGCTGCTTGACTATGAATTGTGATCATTCTTTCTTCAATGTTGTACACATACAGTATCATGGCACTTTATTACTAGCGTTATTATTACTGTTATTCAGCAGATATAGTAATATTTTCCTTTCAGTGTGAGAGTGAGTACCCTTCGCTATGTAGTACCTTTTGGTTTTTCATTTGGATTCACACCAGAATTGCCCTAACATTATGGAAAGAATTCACAAGTGTTCCATTTACTCTGCATAACACCCAAAACTTTGAGATGCTTAAATGTTCATGTGTTAGGTTTAGAGACAAAATGTCAATTTTCTAAGTATACTTTTTGGTTTACTGCAGTTGAAAGGTATTTATACAAAATTATCAGGGTATTTACATTCATTGCATATAACATATCTTGGCCATACACTATCAGAAGTCCCCAGTATGTTAATCCATTACACTAAGTAAGACCTTGTTTAACAGCGAGGAGAAGAAGAGTGTTATGAGGTCCCATTTATGATGGTTATAGTTGT